AGTATTCCATTGTATATATATATACCATATCTTCTTCATCCAGTCATCAGTTGATGGGCACTTAGGTTGCTTCCACATCTTGGCTATTGTAAATATGCTACAATGAATATAGGGTTGCATGGTTCTTTTGGAACTGCTGATTACAAGTTCTTTGGATAGATACCCAGTAGTTGGATGTCTGGGTCATATGGTATTTCTATTTTTAATTTCTTGAGAAATCTCCATACTGTTTTTCCATAGTGGCTGTACCAGTTTGCATTCCCACCAGCAGTGTATGAGGGTTCCTTTTGCTCCACAACCTCTCCAAGATTTGTTACTTTTTGTTTTGGTTATTTTAGCCATTCTAACGGGTGTAAGGTGGTATCTTAGTGTAGTTTTGATTTGCATTTCCCTAATGATCAGTGATGATGAGCATCTTTTCATGTGCTTATTGGCCATCTGTATATCTTTTTTGGAGAAATGTCTGTTCATGTCCCCTGCCCATTTTTTGGTAAGATCGTTTGATTTTTTGTTGTTGAGTTGTGTGACTTCTTTATTTATTATGGAGATTAGCCCCTTGTTGGATATATGATTGCAAATATTTTTTCCCAATCGCTGGGTTGTTTTTTTGTTTCAACCCTGTTTTCCCTTTCCTTGAAGAAGCTTTTTAGCCTGATGAAGTCCCATTTGTTTATTCTTTCTATTGTTTCCCTTGTCTGAGAAGACATGGTGTCCAAAAAGATCCTTTTAAAACTGATGTCAAGAGTGAACTGCCTATATATTCTTGTAGAAGCCTTATGGTTTCAGGTCTTATCTTTAGGTCTTTGATCCATTTTGAGTTTATTTTTGTGAATGGTATAAAAGAATGGTCTATTTTGATTCTTTTACATGTGGCTGTCCAGTTTTCTCACCACCATGTGTTGAAAAGACTTTCTTTTCTCCATTGTATGTTCTCAGCTCCTTTGTCAAAGATTAGCTGTCCATAGATATGTGGTTTTATTTCTGGGCTTTCAATTCTGTTCCATTGATCTGTGTACCTGTTTTTGTACCAGTACCATGCTGTTTTGATTACTGTAGCTTTGTAGCATGTTTTTAAGTCAGGGATTGTGATGCTTCCAGCTTTGTTCTTTTTTCTCAGGATTGCTTTAGCAATTCAGGGTCTTTTCTTGACCCGTATAAATTTTAGGATTCTTTGTTCTATTTCTGCAAAGAATTTCATTGGGATTCTGATTGGGATTGCATTGAATCTGTAGATTGCCTTAGATGGTGTGGACATTTTAACTATGTTTATTCTTCCAATCCATGTGCATGGAATGTCTTAGGGAGTCAGCATTTTTAACAGACACTGTGGCTGCTGTTGATTCTAATATAGATGTTCTTCCAACTACACATTGACAGAGACTACTTTCACCTTTATAAGAACCTAGAACGTCACTCCTCAAGCTCCTTCTCCTTTCTCCTGTAAAAGGTCTACTTCTCAAGAGTCTGCTTCCAAAGGTTCCTTGTGATTGTCACATTAAACCTATTTAGTTCTAGTTTTACTCATTTGATGGCTACTGAGTATTGACATATGGAAGATTTAGCTACTCTTTCATAGGAGATGTACACTCACTGCTTAACAAAATACTTCTACAACCATGGGTTCTCTTTCCTTAGAGTAGCAGGCAGTTCCATAAGTACTGTTGACTCATTTTTTCCATTTATTTCTGGGCTTCTCCTGCACCCATGCACCTGGGTCGCAGACATCATTTATTGCATTCTTAATGGATAAGCAGCTTTCAGTACCTACATTTTCATGGTCAATTATGTCACATAACTAGCAGTTATTTCTGACTTCCTGAATAAATTTAAATTAGGAAAGCTCCATTGTATTTAATTTTAATGTATGCTCACGTAATGCTTCATACTCAGCTTCTCTTTCTCCTGCCCTTTTTCACCCTTTCTGCAGTTTTTCCATACATGCTCCTCTAATTACCAAACCTGCATAAACTCCTGGTGCATTTACAGATCCTTTCCAAGTCAGCCCTACAGCTACACAAAGCTTATAACAGTGTTTGCTGTTAACAGCTGAAGACTAAAATGATGTCTGTTAATATTTAGGAACTTGTCAATCATGACTCGGGTCATGTAATCATTATGTAATCAAGGCAGAGCAGTACCATAAATTGTAATATGTTTCCTCCTCTTCAGTCAAATATCTCACTCGAAATGAAAGGTCTGTGCCCAATAAAGGTAAATTCTATTTTCACTTATAGGACAGTGCTTACATATTGGAAACATTAATTTATAAAATAGCCTTTTTTTCTGTTTCAAGTCAGGTTACTGATGTTTGCAAAGAAGGAGTGGTTAACTGGTTAGGAAGAAAATGACAAATAAGCTTAGCTCTTTATAGAGACCACAAATATACAGCTATTTGTCACTAATGCATGTTAAGTACAGTTGAACTTTTTTTAAAAATATGCATACTGTCAGATCACCAATATGATCTTTTAAGCTAATAGACTCAGACATTTCTTGGGAGAAAAATGACTTCTGTGATGAATTTTAAACCAAGTAACAAAAATATACTACACTTTCAGAGTATATGACATTGCATTTAAATGTATCCCCACTTACAAATATTATAAATGTTTAGTCATTACAAATATAATGAATATAAAAAAGTGAGAAGTGTTTTCCTTTGCAACACAACTTAAATCAGAGATTATCTCCATATTTTTCAACCAACTCTTAATACATAGGAACTCTTTAGGAAACTGCCTTAAGATCATGAATACTGATGTCCTCTGGGGCAGAGACTAAGAAAGAAGTCCCTGCAATTCAAAGGTCTAGATTCACACCACCTTCCACATCTTGAAGGTATTTAATCTCTTTACCTTTCTTACCATATCTGTGCAGTGAAAGTTATTAGAGTTCCTATCTCATACTGTCATAGGGAGGATTAAATGAAAAAGTAAATGCAGTGTATTCTGCATGTGTGTATTTTCATAGCTACATGTGTATTTTATGTATGTATATTTGTGCATTTTGTACATATGAATAAATGTATGAGAAAACTAATATAAAGAAAAACTAAGTGTAAAAAAATGTAATTGCCCATAGTGAAAACTCACTAAATGTACACTATTATTATTATATACAGATTTGGGACACTGAAATTTCCCCAAGTGATTAAATTAGTGTGTCTTATTTTATCATTAGGCTAGTTTCTTGTGAAACAGATATTTCCTAATGGTACTGTATACTCAACACCTCAGATAAAAAGCAAGTAAGATGATATGAGGGTGAAGCAGTTTCAAAAAAGTACAAATTTCAGGCATTATTATTAGTGAAGACGATGGTGATAACAATAATGGTTACACATTCTTCAAATCTTAGTCCTCCAGATGGTCCCATTTTCTCTAGCCTTCAAGAGTCACTCTTCCTTTTTACCTAAGTAACAGCAGTTTAACACCATCCTTTGTTCCACAGTTTCCCCTACCACTGAGGACTCACCCAGGAATGCATGCATGCGACACCATTACACTTTCTGGGTTGCCTCTGTTTGAGTATGTACATAGCCTGCCCTCAGATTCCCAAAGCATAGCTAAGACCAAGTGGAAGCCATACCTAAATGGAAGACAATTGTAATGCAGGAAAAGAAAACATAACTCCCCATTAGTCCCTTCACAAGCAGTTGCTTGGTTTTTATTAGCCCCTCAAATCGTTCTCAGTATTTTACCTGCCAACATTATAGGAGTTGCCTAGCTCTTCTCAACTGAAGTTAAGACCTTGTCCTTCCAATTGAGAATCCACATGCACATGTTCCCAGCCATAAAAAGGTAAGTAGCATCCCCCTACCTGCCTCAGTCTAAAACCTTAGTCCAACACCTGCCCCCTGCCTGCCCAAATGGTAGTCAAGGGTGGAGGAATTTATAAAAAACTATCACAACAGTCAGGGGAACATTCTCCAAAGTTTGGAAAGTGTCACAACCAGTTCCTCTTAACAATCTTTTCTATATTAGAAGGCGGAGATTATGTTTGCATATCCTTCCAGTCTTCCAGCCATCAGTGAACAAATATATGGAGGAAAGAAAGAGAAAGGGGAGAAAGAAAACCCATCTGTCAATGACAGTCATTCGTTTTCAGGGAGAGTCTAGCCAAAAGCCTTATTTAGGAGAAAATATATTGGGTTCTTCTAGGGCATATGCTTAACAAGTATCCAATTCAACATTTCAGTCTGGGGCATCTGTATTTAATTACTTCTCTACTTCTGGGTATCCTGAGTATTATGAATTAGATATTTGCTTTATATCTAGTTGGTTAAAACTGGTCCCACCCATACCAAAGGAGGTTTAATTCTCAGCCTAAATTCCCTCTTCTGCTCTGAAACTTAGAATCTATTTACCATCTCTCAAATGGCATTTTTCCAGTTGCAATTATTTTAAGATCTTGGCATCCAACTTTGTAAATATGAATATGGATTCATATTTAAGTAAATACAGAGTATAAAAAACCTCTAAGAACTGTTATTTGGGAAGGGATACAGGAAGCAAACACATGCAATTTGTGCAAGGCTTTTCTAACAACCTATGAATTTAATAACTATCAGATTATTGATCTGGGATTTGAAGCTGAGGAAGAGGAATTCCAAGTAACTCTCTCTCATACCCCAAAAAAGAACCAAGTCAAGTAATGAGTCAGAGGCTGATTTCAAGATAGCTTGTTAGAACGACAGCATATTTGCTTTTCTAATCCTTGGTGAAACAATAACGTTGTCTATTATTAGACAGCTCAGCCTACTTATTAATTAAATACAAAAAAGCATATTTAGAAGTAGCTGTATAGTAATTTTGAAATGTAAAATATCAAGACTAAGACAAAAAAAGAAACAACCATTCTGAAAACAAGTAGTCATACCCAGATACTATCACAGTATAGGCAATACTACAGAGCACAAAGACTAGGGTGCAAAAGATATCCAGGTGCTGGTTTAACTTATGGTCTGAAGGGAGGGCCCTACGGCCCTGTGAGAGTCTTACCTAGTTCAGTAAGCTTGGTGTGTAGAAGGCTCTTCTTAGATGTGGCTTGGAGAGTGGTAAAGTTCCGTGAAGCATCAGCTAGTCAAGGCGGACACTGAAGCCCAGCATGGCCCTCCTGGGACCTGCAGGGAGTCAAATAAAAGTATCGTCCTAAAAACGCTGAATGAGCAGTGGGAACTTATTCTTCTTTGATTAATTATTGATAATTAAAAGTTTAAAGGAAAGTGATGAAGCTGCCATAAACTTATTACCTTCGTTGCATAATCAAAAGGAACAGCTTTAGTCCAAAGGGGGCTAATTACACCACTATAATTAAAACATTACCAGAAGTGTTTGAACTTCTGGAATCTTAACATTTGAATTGTCTAAGCAAACATTTTCCAAAATTATAGTTTTGGAAACTTACAGCATGATTTACTCTTCCTCTTGTACTAAAAAATAACTAAAATGGATTTATTTGCTTTTTTTCTCTCTAGAGCATTTCCTTTTCTCTGAAGGCATATTTACCACTTATAAATCACCACATTTACAAGAAGAATGATACAAAAGATGACATATCAAATAATTATGCAATCCAACAAATAAATTGTTGTAGTTCTTTTAATCTTTAATAAATTAACTGATTTTACTCATGATTTCCCGATTCAGTCAAATTGCCAAACTTGTAAATATTAAACAGATCTTTATGGTTTTGATGTTAAACTATGCTTTACTTAAACTTAGATGATCTTTAATTCCTCCCTGAAAATTCTGATATTTGGAGAACCATGCTTTTCATGAAAAATTTTTATCTTAAGTTACATTACAACATGCTCATGAACTTGGCATCACTGTTGCTTTAAAAATTAAATTAATTTTCTTGAATTATGCAAATAATCCTTATTCTAATGCTCTTTTAAAGGTTTATCTTATGTGTCCATTCACATAGGAGTAAGTCAGGACTTTTTTCTTTAATTCTCAAGCTTTTACAGTAAGACAGAAGAAATTTCACTTAGAGGCTCTACAATGTATACAAAGACCGTCTGTACAGATCACCTATGAACATGGCCCTCTGAGAATGCAAATGTAACCATTGCTGGTGATATACAAATATGCTGTGAATTGGGTTTCAAAGCTCAGTCAATGGTTCTGTTTTCCCTAGATCAGTTAGCACGTAGCTCACGAAAGCTGCCCAGTCTCTTCAGGAGAATGCCCTGGCTAGTGTTGATTGATTGCATCTTTAACTATACTGGAAGTAATGCTTTTTTATGGATGACAAGCAACAAATCCTTTTAATTATTTCTTTATTAATGTCATTCTTTCCTGTGTAGTTGTCATTACTAATCTTCTCGCCAGTGTTCCCTGTTACAATTCCAAGAAAAGCTAGGCTTCTGCCATTTAATGAAATATATGTTGATTTCAATTCACTAAGGTTTTTTTTTCTTTCAACTAAGAAAGAAAAAAATCTTTCAACTTACTTTTTTTGAGGTTGCTTGTATGGGATCTTCTAATATGTTCACGTTTCTAGCCATGGGTGGTGCCTTGCAATGAGAATGTATACAGCATTAACATGGTACCTCCATGCGTGTACGCAGTCAATGCTTTAGAAGCTCTCTCCCTCCAAACAGGACTCAGAGTGGTCAGTCCAAGATTGACACATAGAAAATACTCAGGGAAGTATTAAAAACAAAAATAAAGGGGATGAAAAAAATGAACATTTAGCACGTATGCCTCTCCATCTTTATTATCTTGCTTATCTCCACATAACTCTATGAAATAAATATGTTCTTCTATTAGAAGTGAGGAAAAAGGATGTTTAGTGACTTTCCTAAGGTCTCTTCTTGACTTCAAGTCCCACTCAATGACATCTTAGTCACACACACTGTCCATGGAAATAAATCCCTCTTTTGTAAAGTGTTATGATAATGTCTCATTAGGTACTCCATTTGGGGGAAGGATACTGTCGAGGCTGCTGATACCTTAGCAGCAACATACAGAGGGAAGGAGCAGAGTCATCTGCTATGTCTTTTCAACTCCTAGTCACCACATGGTCTTTTTGAGGACCTATTTATTTACAAATGCTTCTGAAAAGAAAGAATGATGCCTCCAAAAATTATCATTTACTAGCATTGCAATAGATGACTATCAGCAGAAATACACATGATGGAAGTAAAGTCATTGTATCAGCAGGACCCTAGGAATGGTTGGATGTGGAAACTGAGTGAGAGGCAGGAGTCAGGGATGACTCCTACATTTCTAGCTTGCATGAATGTGGGAATTTTCATGCCACTCATTTAGAGAGAGAATACAGTTGAGAAAGATTTTGGGTGAAAGTTACTAAGTTATTTTTAGAACACGTAGAGCTCAAAATTCCTGTAAGACATGTATAAGTGAGATTACCAAGAACCAGCTGTCTTGAGTTCAGGGCAGAATTTAGGGCTAAAAATATAACATATAAGTGGTAATTGAAACCATGGATGTGGTTTAAGTAACCTTAGATTGTGACTAGTAAAAAGAATACAGAGCCAATGAAGCAGACTTGGAGAATGTGAAATTTAAGGAACGGGCAGAAAAACAGGATCCCACAAAGGAAACTAGGAGGTAAAGTCTAGAGAAGTAGGATGGAATCAAGGAGAAAATTAAGTCACAGAAGCTAAGGAAGTATTTCTTTCTTAAAGGAGAAAATGGTCAACAATGACAAGGTGAAGATAAAAAGTGTCCATTTTATAGGTCATTGTTCATCTTGGAAAACACAAGGACTGAATTTTTTCTGAAGTGGTAGCAGCAAATGTTTATTCCCCGACAAAGCAGCTTGATTTTCACAAGATGTTCAGAATTTGGATATAACTAAAAGGGGGTGTGAAGTCAAAAGAAGATATTTTAAAGATGGGAGAAGCTTTGTGTTGCATTTTTTCCCAATAGTCCACTTGTGAAAAAGCAAAGAAGTAAAACTGTTGAATCAATCCAAAGTTATGATTTTACACAGGATTTCAACAGAAGGGCAAGGAGCAAGAGGCAGAGTAATAGGGACTGTGTCATTGAACACAGACTTTGGAATCTAGGTTAGAAAAGAAAGAAAGTGTATCTAGAAAGCAGCAGACAGATTAAAAGGAAATGGAGTAGTCCAGGGCCTGGAGACTTCCTACAAAGAATAGGTGTATCAGTGTTACACAGTTGAAAAGATAGGTTGTTATAGTTAAAGATACAGTGATGAATTGAAGTTTAATATTTCACATGCGGTATAGTGTGAAGTTTGGATATATTTCAAGATGTGGCTATATGTGTCAGATACTGAATTAATGTAGAGGTAAAGATCATTAGAACTGAAGTCAAAGAATTGCCTTGTATAGAGTCATCCACAAAGACATTGGAGTTTGCCTTGGAAATTACTAAGATTAAAGCAAAAAGGCATTGCTAAATCAGACTTAGGTCAATCAACTAGTAATGCCTTAGCTCTCCTGGAATTCATCCAAAACCAAGAGTCAGTTGAAAATATAAAATGTACAATAGATTGAAATAGTCAAACAGTAGCTGACATTTTGAGAATTAGCCAAGGCAACACAAACCATAAACAGCATTATGAAACACAGAAAAATAATTGGATATTGACTTCATTGATAAATATTTTCCTAGCAAGAATATGTTAAAGTGTTTTACTTCCTTTTATACCAGGTTTAAAAAAAAAACTGTCCTTAAACTTTTTTGGTTGACAAATTTCAAAAATAGATTTTGACGTCATCTTCATATGACATACATAATATCATTATATAACAGTGTATATTTTACTAAAGTACACATATTTCTCTTTATTTTTCTTCCCCAGCTTTATTGAGATATAGTTGACAAATTACATTACGTAGGCTTGAGGTGTAAAGCATGACGTTTTGATGTATGTATGTACTGCAAAGTGATTATCACAATAGGGTGGTTGACACATCCACCACCTCACATAGTTACAATTGTGTGTGTGTGTGTGTGTGTGTGTGTGTTAAGGGCTTTTGAGATTTACTGCCCTAGAAACTTTCAAATATACAATGCAGTGTTGTTGACAATAGTCACTATGCCGTACATTACATCTCCAGAATTTTTTCATCTTGTGACTAAAAGTTTCCGTTTGACCACCTTCACTCATCCTCTCCTCTCCCTGGACAACCACCAATCTATGTTGTTTCCTTGAGTTTTGTTTTTTTAGAGGATGTGGAGAAAAGGGAACACTGATACACTGTTGGTGGGAATGTAAATTGGTGCAGCCACTGTGGAAAACAGTATGGAAGTTCCTCAAAATATTAAAAATACAACTTCCACATAATTCAGTAAATCCACTTCTGGGTATACATACGAGGGAAATGAAATCACTATCTTGAAGAGATATCTGCACCCCTATGTTCATTGCAGCATTATCTATTATTATTTACTATCTCCACCATTTCTACCTTTCTTACTGTTTTCTCATGCCTGGAGAGAGGTTCCAGTTGCTCTCAATGTGATTGGTTAGTAGTGTCTTGGTGCTCCCAGAGGTACCTCCAGCATAGACCAACCAGCAACTCAACCTGGTGCAAATATCTGGAAAACAAACCCTCCATGGTGAATGTGTCTTCTTGGCATGTGCCACTTACCCAAGTCATTTTCTGGGCTACAGATGCCAAGCTGGGTGACTATCTTATGTCTTAGACCAAGACTAGGTTATCTCCACAGAGCCATTTTTCCCATATTACGTATAAACCCAGGGGGAATACATTCACTTCCTCCATCCAAGATGACAAAATCCCTATGAACTACACTAGGTTTACTCTCTTCCCTTTGCTCTCCTCCATTTGCCTGCCCACACATATCACTTTATAGAGCCAATTTCTCACAAATAGAATTAGTGAACGATATTTGCACCCCTTCTCATATTTCTTTTTTTTTCTTTTTTTGGCTTGTTTCTCTGATAGCTTTGTTGGTTGATAGGTTCTTTGAGTTTTAATGGTAATTGTGTGATTTGCAATTTCACAGGAGAAACTGCTATAATGCAAGAAGTCATGTCCATCTCTCGAATTATGCTGGTAGATCTGTATGATTTTCCAAATATTCTTTCCTAAAATTTACAACAACCTATGTTGTCATATTTCTTTGCAATTCCTTTACTTCTAGTATTCTATTGGAGCTTTACCAACCCAAGCAAGTCCCATGTGAATGTATATGTCCTTCTTAGAGTGAAATTGATGGGAAGAAGTACTTACAACTGCAAATTTGAACCAAACCAACACTTAAGCACTGTAGGGGTCTATGGTTAAGAGAATGATTTATTTGCACACTATTTAGGCACATTTTACCTTGGAATGGCACTCACCATAATTTGTGGATGGTGTTCATTAAAAACACAGGTGAATTTTAGGAAATAACTGATAAAGAGAATACTATTATTATAGTTATATGGCTCATAAATTAATTTTGTGGTAGCATAGCATCAATTCCTTTCCTTTATTTAAATCACCTATATAATTCCTTTTCTGGTCTATCTTTAAGAACTTAAGAAATGGTCTGAAAGTGCTTATATCCCTTAATTTGAGTATACAGAATCATAAATTATACAAATGGAGTGGAGTTAAGAGAGTTGAATTAAACTACTTGGTATATTAGAGGGTGAATTTGAGACCCATAGAAGTTACATGAGTTAGCTACAGACCCAGAGATGGTTTTATTTCTCCACATAAGGAGGAGAACCAGCTCTCCTGCCCCATTATTGTACTTTTCCCAATATTCTGGGAAGTTCATAAGAAAGACAAAATGATTTCTTCAACCTCAGCTATAACTGATTATAACCTGGAACTCAATTTTCTTAAAGCAAATTTTAAGAAAACATTGAGTCTATTTCAAGTTTAATAAGATTCTACTTTTGCTTTAAAAATGGTCATTTCCAAAATTCAAACATTTTAACCAAGTATTCAGAGCATATTACTTGTACAAAAGAGTTAAAGACAAAATTTTACTCCTTAATCACTTCTTTTGCTTTTTAGAGTAGACATTTCTAATTGGAAAAACTTGAAGTATAAGCTAAGAGACAGATTAATTTCTTTTCTCATCACAAATGCCATACTCCTTCAGTCATTTGTAACTTTTTCCTGGCAGAGCTGCCCTGAAGCTTTTCTCAACTCCTGGCCAGGTTTCTCTGGAGCTACTTTCCAGGAATCTCTGGAATTAGAACCATATTTTCCTCGCCTTTTCTTTTTTCTGTGAGTTAATTATGTCTTTTTTTCTCTCACACTCTTAGCTATTAGATACGCTGGCTAACATCTCAGTGATATTTTTAAAAGAAAAAATTTTACTCCTTGTGTGTCAGGCCTTCATCAAGTCTCATGAATAAAAGCCATATGGATGTAATGTTTCAAAATTTTTATGAAGATTTTTAAACTATTATTTCACTTTTTTAACAGTTTGAGACACACTTGACACGCAATAAACTGTATTTATTTAAAGCATACAATTTGATAAGTTTGGACATATGAGTATACCCATGAAAACCATCAATACAATCAACATAATGAGCACATCCCTTTACCCCCAAATGCTTCTCATTTAAAAGATAGGAATTTAGTTACTTTCAAAATGTTTCATGGTCAACTGTTTTATTCACCACAGTCACTGACAGACCTGTTCTGACTAATTTAATACTATGGTTAATAGAAATTTCCTGGTTATTTACCACTTATACTAAATGGGAGGAAGCAGTTATTAAATAATTGAGTAAATAAGTAGGTAAAGAAATAAAATAGTTCAATTGTAAAGTCTTCTGTCACCTTCATTTTTTAAGATTCATAGAAGACTTCTAGATCCTAGAGTACCTCAGAGTTCTAACTATAAGCGTATGCTTTCATTGTGCAATATAGGTCAACAATGCCTGTTTCTAGAATTTTAAATAACTGATAGTCTACTCTACATAGACATTTAATTTCAAGTGACAACTCGCTTGCCATATTCTGTCTTCTGAACGATCAGGCCAGGAGTGAGGGGAGGGAATGTTTGATCTCCGCGAGCTCTCTGCCCCACTGTCCCCTGGTTAGACACAGTCTTGATAATGCATTGAAGGCCTTTATGTCTCTCGTAAGAATATCAAAAACCTGGAAAATGCTAGAACTTTGATCCTCACCTGACCACAGCAACTGAAAAGCTCGTCTGACAGGAAGCTAGTGAGCTAGTTGGCTCGAGAACAAGTGTGAAGAATGAGAAGAGCCCCTCTCAGGGAACCCCTGGAAATGGAATGTGTAGTCTCCTCTCTTTACAAATCCAACCTACCCCCTGTTATTTTGAGCATTTACTTTGTATAACAGAATGGCTTTTTTAGAAGTATCAAGGGGCAGGGAAGACTCTTCAGAAAAACAATATAAATTTCTCCACTTACTTCCACATTCCTTGTTGACTCACATGCTTCTCCTGTAATAAATAATTTACTATAATAAAAAATTTACTACACTAAAACTATCATTAAGGTCCCTGAAAGAATAAATCATCATGTTTTACGGAGTGTGCCCAGCTAACCAACTTTACTGCTTGGATTTTTGTTTGCTGGTGATGGGATGTGCAAGGCAGCTGGAGGAAGAAGGGATTACTGAATAAAAATTAAAACATTCCTACAGCAAATCACCAGGATGGAACTTGACCTTTGGGAAACAAATCGAAGAGTCTCATAAAAGTTGCACGTCAAGCCACAACAGAGTCATTTTTATGGACAAAATCTCCAGTGAGTTCTTTGACAATGTTTGTACTCATGACACTCAAAGGACAGAAGAGAACATATGCCAGGTTGTTAGCAATCCTTCAAAAATAATATGGACACATTCAAGTCATGCCACATCCTCAAATACTAACAAAAACTCCAAGAAAACTCTCTTTGGCCTTGTGTCACTATATATACAATATGTCATTATATATATAACATATCATTATATTATTATGTAGCCTTGTCTCATTACATATATACATATATAATTTATTACATATATAATGTATCGAGTCTATTGGAATAGCTTTGGATAAATGTCTAATAACTAATTTAAATACCAAGTAAATAAATCATTATCTAATTGTCAAAATGAGATTCTAGTTATGTTCTCAATTACTTTGTGAAACTCACCACCTTTTCAAGGGATGAGGTATTACTTAAATGTTAAATGATATTGTATAGTTTTAAAATACATTGAGAATAATTTCAATTAAAAAGTCTATCTTGTGATTAGAGAGAAACAACTGTAATTCCTAAACCTTGTGTTATTCATATTTAGAATACATCAAAAGGGAGAATACTATTTGAACTTGAATGAGAGTTTAATAAAATGTCTTCCCGATCATAACTTCCAGTTATTTCCAAGATGCTGATCTTACTTGAGCTTCATTTGCCATTCTTGATTTTATAGCTATACTTTCCAAATACTTACAGATTCATTTAATCAACATATGTTTATTGTACTCCTAATATATATTTAAAGCACTGTGCTAGTCCTGATTGGAGGTATAAGATGGCGATGCCATTCTGTATTCCTGCCATCAAGGATCAAGTAAACACGATATCTATACCTGCAACTCTAAAGCAGAGTGGAAAGTAAAGATCACTGAAGTTGAGCTTATAAACTAAGAGAAGCCACAGTGCTGGAAGGGTTACCCACAATGACTCTGAAGTCACTGGGACTGTTGCCAGGAATTAGAGCAAAAAGAATATGGAGTCAGGTACTAAAATCTTAGAGAAGCCAGGAATGGACAGTGACCTCACCTTTGCTCATGTCCTTAGCATTTTCCCTTTTTTTCATTGAAACTGTCGTCACACAGTTATATGCAGAATATATACGCAGAATAATGTATATCACTTCCTTGGTATAGGGCTTTTGAGAATTCCTTATGGTGACTCAAAGCAGGTGGGTAGGAAGAATGAGCCAGAGCCTTTTTCAGACACACTTTAGGGCTAACCTAGACTGGAGAAAACAACTTAGATCCTATGTTGGGATGCTGAAGTATAGCAGAAGGGTCAGGCACAGCGCTCAAGAGAGGTAATGACCAAAGCCACTCTTCTGAGAATCGAAGAACAGTGAGTGGAACATAGCAGTAGAGAATTAGGGTGAACGTGCCCAGAAATATGAGTATCAGCAGGCAGGCATTATCCATTCCTGAGCATCCCAGTCTCAGATGCCAATTATGCTAAGAATAAGGGGAAAGGCTTCCTGGGCAAGGAGACGGGTAAGAACAAGTAGGAGAGACACATCCCCAGGCATTAAGCTGAAACAAGGGAATGCTCTGCTGCTGAATGATGCGATAGGACTTCAGATCAAGAACCAAGGCAGAATCCCACACTGCCCAAATCAAGCCAATGCATGGGTAAATGAAAAAGATGCCGGGTGTGCAAGGAAGTTTGGGGAGAAGAATAAGCAAGGTAAATCCAGATGTTGTGGGGCCTGAAGTTTATATAATTTTGATGTCCTTTTTAAGAAAAAGAATACAAAATTATGAATACATAGAGTTAGGACTCCTCTCAGAAACTTAAGAAGATGTCCATGCAAGTAGGGTTCTGTAGCTTGAACTCCGCTAGCTTTATA